GAATGGTAAATCTGTAAAAAAAAATGAAACAAATATTTGTCTTACTTTTCATAAAAACTGATATATTTGTAAATTATTTATTACAGTAAAATGAAATATTATTGATTCCGTAATTACTTGCTTGTTCCTAATAAAAATCGAAGAAGTTTTTTTTCATTTAAAAAATGGGATGTTTCTCATGATGGACAAATCGATCGAAGCGAATTGTCTCATCTCATTTCAGCTATTGTATGATTCTTTATTTGTAGTTAAAATCATTTCATTTCATTTTCAGTATGATCGTGCTGGAGTAAAAGATCGTCAAGGTGAGAAAAATCCTCAAAGTCGTGCAAAAGCAATTATTAATAAACTTGATGTTAGTGGCGACAAGAAGTTAAATAGAGAAGAATTTATCAATGGGTATGTTATTACAAGATTATCTACAATTATTTCATTTATTTTATCTATTAGATGTGATAACGACGAAGTCATCACAAAATTTCTCACTACTGGTCAATAAACAGTTCATGGCATAAATAAACTATCGTAATATTCATTTATTTTATTTGATCTTTTTCTCAATAAAATTAGATATATTCCACACGAATTTGTAGATTTTTTTCTTCTGAAGTCGGATTTTTTTGTTTGAATTACAAGTTTCTCAGTTATTTGAAGCATTTCATAACGGTTGCATTTTCTCTTCCAATGCCTTGAAAATAGACTGCATCAGTATAAAAAAATAAACTGTAAATCAAACCATAATCAATTTTTGAGCTAAACATAAAACTTCCAAAACATATCTTATATATGTAGCGTCACTAACTATTGTCAATTTTATGTCTTATCGATTTCATAAGAACGTACGTGAATCGTGATCTATCACATAAAAATTGCATCTATATTTATTTAAACTCTATGAACATCGTTTTATTTTTCATTTCTTTACATTCTATGAAACTTCATTTTGTACACTTTGGACATGGTGTCTATGAAAACGACATGTGCATGTATACTTTGTCCATATAAACAAAATGTAAACAGACATTTTATTTAATATTTCCACTAGAAACACTGGATAAGATACGCACTAGAACGTGACTGATTCAATAATTCTTTTTTCCTTTCTTGTCTTTTTCTATTTCTTTCTTTCACTGTTAGATATACTGTCAGCACATTCATTTCGTAATATAAACAAATATGTGTAGTTGCATATATGTTTTTCTACTAAAATTCTTATTTTATTTGTAGATTCATCAACAATCAAATTTTGGTCATTATATAATGATAGCATTAACTACAACAGGTACAATCTACGTCGCATTGTCAAACATATATGATGTTCAACAAAATTCAATTTTTATTCAACCACTTGTATACTGTAAATTTATAAGATATAGCCGTTATAATCCTACATCAACTCAACCAGCTGTTACACGTGATTTTGATGTTGTCGTCAATGCAGAAGGTTTAAATAATGGTATTACATTAACATTATCAGCATTACCCGTAGTCGAAGCTCGTTATGGTTTGACAATTACAGCAACTGATGCTCAAGGTTATTCATTTGTCGATAACAAACCCATTATGTTAACCCAGAAAGGTCAAGTTAATGAAAACCTACCTCCGGTGCGAAAAACTTTATATCCCATATTGGATTCCAATATGCAAGCACCGGCTGCTCAAGTTCGAAACAATGCTCTTTATCATTTTCCTAATTTCGGTACAAATTGATTGAAGATGAACGAACTTTTTTATTCATTTTTTATTGTCATTCGTTATGAAGAAAAAGAATAAAAATATAGATTATGTCAAATGTTGGATCATCCGTAAAGTTTATTTTCTTGTTAAAGAGAATGCACATGCACATACAAAACGTGCACACACTAACATACGGAAAAAATCGGACGTCCTTTGTATATTGGATAACTGCAGTGTCAATTTTTTCTTTTTCTCAGACTAATTGGTTAAGAATAGAAGAAAAAATTTGGAAAAACAATGCTCGTCAAACGAGATAGACGAACATATATCATTATGTATGAGAACATATATAACTTCGTATGAATGAACAAGAGACAAAAAAATGACAGTCGATACGTTTCAATCTTTGCCTGTTGATGTTCTCTTTGAAATTTTCGGATATTTATCTCCTGTTAATATTCTTCAATCATTTTTATCTATTAATAAACGTTTATCAAGAATTATTATCTGTGAATATTTGTGGCACATTGATATTGGTGATTCAACGATGTCATCATCGATCTTCAACGATATTTGCCAAAATGTCTTGAAATTGATAGGAAGTCGACTTGTCTCTTTACGTGTAATACTAAGCAATACGATTGGTGGATGGTCACTCGTTTCATCGTCCCTTGGATATCATCAGACAACATTGCTTCAACGTCTTCATCTGATCGATATTAAGCCCCATGAGTTTGATAAATTATTGCGGAATCATTTAATAAAACAATTACACACTTTATTAGTTGATATTACAGTATCTAATCCATTCAATTATCTTGAAATTGAAGGAGTTTATTTAAATAAGGTAAGAAGATAATTATTCCTTCACCTCATTAGGAAATTTTAGATTTATCCTGTGATAAATAATCTTATAATATTATGATACTTAAAATATAATTCTTTTTTATTTATTAAAGGTATGTTCGCAACTGCCGCTTCTAGCAATTTGTCGACTTCCATTTAATGTTTATCATAAAAATCTATATCAATTAGAGGAATATTCAGGAACACCGCTAATGAGTTTACCAAATTTATCAAATACAACTCATCTTCGTTCATTGACTATTGGTATGAACACATCATACTTTCTAAAACGCTTGCTATCGTGTATACCGTTTATTGAAAATCTTTCTCTTGGTGTAAATGACGAAGAGGTAAATGAAAACGATAGATTTAACACAAATGCGTAAGTAACATTCTGTGATCTATGAAAGTAGCAATAATATAAAACTTTTTAGAATGCCTGCCGCTGTTGATATTCATCTTGTATATTTATCTCGTCTACGTATAGACTGTGCGAATAATACTAGCTTTCACCGAGCTATTGCGCTCTTTTCATCTGTGTTTGGTCAACTTAGTCATTTTTCACTAAAGTTGAAAGCATATACATCAATCTTTGATCCATGGATTATATCTGGTGACACTATTCAACAATTTTGTATCGATCAACTGGAACCATTGGCAACATATAATCTTAATCTATTATTCAATATCGAGGGCGACTTAGAAGAAAAAATAATTTTCAATTCATTTTCTAAAGTTCCATTTACTGATCGACAACATCCGAGAGTGTTTATCCAAGAACGTGATAGCTTGAGTATTGGTCATAATTATCATTGTTTTATGGTATACACTTTACCATATTATGACAGAGTCATTTCAACACACGCGTTTACTTCTGATCTGCAAATGTATGTAGAAAATATTTTGCTTCTATAAAAGATCTAGAGAAATCTTCTCTTCTTTCTATTTAGATCTTCTCAAAAGTTGGTTAATCCAATAAATTTGTTTTCACGTACTAACGAATTATTCATCAATGGTTTTACAGGCAAAAGTTGTCATTTAGATTTGGGTAATTGTAGAAGTTCCATATCAGCATTGGTTCCATGGACACTACTAACAAAAATTAGAGTCGATGACGGCAATGTTATAAGTGCAGCTGAATTAGAAGCAATATTACGAATGGCTTATCATGTACATACACTACAAATAGATGATAGTGATGGTTTGTCCGGCGCGATATTCTGTAACACTGACAATCTTGGAACTCGTGTCAATGAACAAGTAGGTAGTTTTATTCAAAAAAGACGCGTTTGTTATTGAATTATTTGAAAATTCTATTATAATTGATTATCATCTTTCATTTAAAGGATTTTTTTTGCAGTAGTTATTACGTTAGTCGATAATTGTGATTACCACGATCATCATTTATATAATTTCATTCGTAATAAAATGTAAAATCGATTTGAGTTATATTTTAACTATTAATAACGAGCAACTATTGAAAGTTATCTTTTTATTCAAAAAATAATTTCCATACAACTTGGAATTATATGTGTTTGCTCTAATTGATTCTGATATATTATTATCCATGAATGGATAATTCATTTAAAGGAGTATGCCATTAATACAAAGAATAAAGGATTTTTTCTTTAATATTGTATTGTTTTTCTACAATCGTTTGGCTAAGAAAGCAAATCATAATACACAGAGACGGTGGAACGTTTTTATATGGAATGAAACTCAGCGAAAGATAATTCTTATTGCAAAAAAAATTTTTAATTTCTTTTATATACAGTTAAAAACAATTGAGAAAACCAAATGTATTAATCGATTAGCACTTTGTCATAGATACAATTGTGCTAACTAACTACATGTGCTGTAGAATTCATAAACGTGAACCAAATCTCCCAACTTTTAATTAATAATAATAGTTTCTTGGAGATTGTTCTATTGATTAAGAGATAGAAAAGAGTTCCCTATCGTTATCATTGGAGTTTGTCGGCAGATCAATAGAAACAGTCATGATTGGAGTCAATACAGAGCTCAGGACGGTCCTGCTGTCCTGTCCTACAGGACAGAATGAAGCTAGAATTTGTGTCCTGCTCTGCTATCCGTCAGGACGACGTAGGACAACAGGACAGGACAGGATAGAAAAAGTTCTCCTGTGCTCACCTCTGATCGGTAGATTACCATTATTAAATATTATTGATCGTTCTTTGATTTATCATGTTGGTGTTTGTACAGATTCATGTTCACTAAATTTATTGAGTTTCAAACAAGAAAATGTGTTTATATTCTGAAAGGATCGAGAAGTTTCTTTTAACATAAATAAATCAGTTATAATAATAATAAGTCAATGATTTTTTGCAATTATTTGACAACCATATTTATACATCGTTTAATAGCTTGTCATTATATATTATTAAGAAGAATTGAGTTATATTCTGATTTAAAGAGTTAATTTTTGATCTTTTTGCACTTATTTTATTATGAAGTTATAATTGATTGAAATGTTGATATTTATAATATTGAATACTGCATACATTGAGTTCTGTTAGTTAATATTTAAGTTGATAATCATTGTTGTCATACTTTCAGAGACAAACAAAAGAAAGTTCCTTTCATTTGTTCACAGATCTTATTTATAATTATTGAAGGATACAATTACACTAGTTCACTCAAACAGAAACATTTTCGACAGTTAATGGAAGTCTTGGAGATCGATCAATGAGCAAAGTAAGGTATTGTAAACACGATATGAATAACATACTCAAAAAGCGAAAAAACGTATTTTACATTTTCTTTGATACATATTCACTTTTTGTCTTTTTTCCTTTTTGTTATAAATAAAAAATTATGTCTTTCACCAATTCTATAATTATCTGATCATTAAACAACGAACAAACATGTGATTATATTTATCTCAATCAATATAATAAGAGTGAATGTACGTTCTATTGTTTTATACATGTATGTATTTTCATCTTCGAACAGAACAAAAAACCTATCAATGCATGAGAGGTGTCACATATCTAGAAAATTGGGGATGCTGGAGAAGTGCAGGGAGATGCGGAAGATGTCAAGCTAACTATAGGATGTGATCCACACCCACACGTTGAATTATCAGCTATTATCGTATCTTGAAGCATATTACATGTCAAAGGTTACTCTAGTGTTAAACTTAACATTTGTTGTAGCCACGGGTATCGAAGAAAAACTCAAAATTTTCAACTTTAACTTTCAGAGAAAAAGTTTGTCACTCGTCTCGTAATTAAAGACGGTTAAAACTTGAATAATCTGATTTAAACAGTAACATTATAATCAATTTAGAAGCCCTGTCCTGCCCTGCCCTGAGGGTAGGACAAGGCATGATAAGCCAGGGTACAGGGCAGAGCACGGTATCAAAAACATGCCCTGTGACGTTTTCTGTGTCACACTAAATGACATCACACGAGAATTTTAATTTTATTAAATATATAGCTCTCTTAATATATCGCAATTTCAGATGAAATTTTGATCATTTTATTCACTCACTATGGTAAACTACTGTGGAATATATCATTCTCCGAAAACATATAGTTATTGAAAAAAATGAGAATAAGTTGAAAAATGTCACGCAAGACTATTTGACGAATAGCTAATGCTAGAAACTTTAAGACAAGTGCAATGAATTGTATATCAAAATATTTTTCGTTTCAGCGGCTCTATCCACTGCTTATAGACTTTACTTGTCAAGTTAAAAAATTAGCCGAAAAGATCAGATATCACATCCTTTCTGTTTACCTTTCGTAAACTTTCACGATTCGTTCTCGTATAAGAATTTTCAATTGAAGTGGCGCCACAGACAGTTTCAGAAATATTTTGTACATAACTGTGAGAGTCTTGCCGATTTCTATCAAACGATATATTACACTTATACTTCGATATTGTACATGAAAGCTTTCTAAGCATAGCCCTAAATAGTCTAGTATATCTCGAGAAACTCTAGTACATCCGCTAATTTAATAGTGGTAGTCGGAAAAATTTATTCATATTCTCCTCTTATATAATATGCTACAGTGATCTACCTAATATATTAAAATCGAATTTTTTTTCTGGAAACGGTACAATAAATATGCAGTTCATTCATTTATATATTTTTATTAGTCGTTTGCTTGACATTTTCGTCTTTTATTTTTGGACTTCTTAAGTACGAGAAAAAAACATGTACGCCTCGCAGCCGTATTATTTTCCTGATTTTTTATAAGTGTCCTGATTTTTCTGATTTTTTTCTACAGGAGTATACCTAAAACGGTTATATTTCAGCCATTCGTATTTTTTTTTTGTTTTTTTTGTAAACGATGTAAGTTTTGCACATTTTCAAATAATTGAGTTTTCAAAATAGTTAGCGTAGCATTAGCAATCATAGATGTGTATATCATGTCTAAAAACTAGGTGAATGCGGTGTGAAGGTTAGTAATGGTCACAAAACATCGGTGAAGTTGACAATCGCCTAAAATCTTTTCGCTCAGCGGTCGCGTCTAATGACAAGTAGAATTTTTTTAAAAATATCTATTGCGCTTTTATATTTCTTGAAAATAGTGTTTCATTTGTGAACACTTCTGTAGGGACAACAATATAGAATTGAAAACATCACGAATGAGCATTTAATTAGAAAATATGTAGACAGACATATAATGGATGGGACATAAATGAATGAACCATTTTTTTTCTGTATTTTTGAGAAACTTAAAAAGCTTCTAGAAACATGATTTTTAAAAAATAAAAAATAGAGAATTTTCTGCTTTACAAGAATGTTAAGTCCGTAGACAAAGTATTGTCTTCATATGCAAACAGACTAAACAGAAAAAGATATGAAAATCAGCACTGCCCCTTTAATACAGCACAACTGATTCCAATAGTTATATTTGAACACTTTTATTGATCGATATGTCAACACCAAAACTTTATCTTTGAATGAAAATATTCTAAAAGACTGCCTGTGTTGCTCAAAGTGAATTTCCAGGTTGAAAAAGTTAAATTCATAGGAAAAATTTGGTTGAAATAGTTAAATAATAACTCTGATAAGGAAGGAAAGAAAAATCACATCATCGACTGATGAAAGGAAAAGATGCAGTGTGCGTTGAATATAATGTTAGATGGAAGCATTTGTTCGAAGAATTGCATCGAAGCCTATATTGAACACAAAATAAAAAGACAATCAATATATATGAATATATATCAGTCTAGAATACGTGAAAAATGGATATCAAGCGAAATCTTATTTTCTGCTAAATTCATTTTCATATTGATAAACTTCTCAATTCACTTTATCTAATTATAGAGCGCAAATTATGTTCGCAGATGTATCCGACCAGAAAAATATTTTAATTACACGAATTTGACCAACAGAAAAAAAGCTTGAAAAGTGTTACAGGATGTACTACTGATTTTTGTATCACTTCTGGTTTCGTTTTTATTTGCATATGAACAGACAATGTTTTTTGGTGAAAACAGAAGAAAAATGGCTCATTCTTTATGAACTACCCGTTTTATATACATATAGGGTGCTCATTTCCATTTTAACTTATTTTTCACTTAAATTTGCACGCGCCTTAGTTGAAGGTGAGCATAAATATTATGTTCGTGACAATTAAATTCACTAAGTTTTGGGTTAGGACCATTTGTTACCAAAATACCTTTTAATCAATTTTGGTTACGATCTTATTCATAAATTTAACAAATGAGTACAAAAATGAGGCAATGAAACTAAAACTATCTTTTAAAGATTGAGCCTATCAACGATTAAATCTCTTATCTTAGCTTTGCAACGTTTGACGTAAATTCTTTTTTAGAAAACTCATAGCAACAGTGTTTAACAGCTGCTGTAATTATAACATGACCATCAAAAAACGAGCCATATTTGACATTACGACATAGATGATCCGCGCAAACGTCACGGTCTCCTCTGCCATCTGCACGGGCATTGTGTATCTACTATCACAGTATTTCTACGCTTTAATTCTAATTAATCGTAGTTGCTCCTTATACTTTTATGCAAATTGAATCCCAAAAAGTAGTATCAAAATGAATTTCACTTTTCCTGATTTTTGGGTATAGGCCGCTGCGACTCCTGTAATTAATACTTCCATATTGAGAGAGCAGAGCTTTTATTGACATTGTAACATGTATTTTTTTGACTGATGATGAAATCATGACAGTTAAAAGAAAACAGTCTTTTGATGAAAGAGATATAAATATGTCGTGAGTATGTCTAAACTTGTGGCACAGAATAGGTGTACTTTCTTTTTTTTCGTTATAGAAAAGAAGAGAAAAGGAGC